GTTACCAGCACTGGATATCATTATAATTATGCTACCCGGTCATGGTTTATAGCTCACTGTTTCTCTGAGGAGACTTGTGCGGGCATGGCTGTCTGCGTACAGCTGGTGCCAATGATTTCCTACATGCTATATTCAGTTAGGGTAATAGTACATCTGGCCTTAGTCGCTTTCTTATCATTAGACCTTTTCAGTCTGTTTGATTGCAAATGGCCACCAAGGGAAATCCCCCCGCACTACACGAATGCAAAACACCCTATGTTCTACAGATTGGAGACATCGGTGCAGTGAATGTTGGTTGCTTTACCGGAGCCCAACTGTGGGGTGATGTCCGCCTAGATGTTGTGCGGTAGAGTTGTTTCCACATCTTTGCCATGTGGCTATAATTATGTGAATTTTCATTTCGGGTGTAGACAGTGATCATGGCATGGGGACAGTGGAACCAACATGGCTACCGACATCATGTGACCCATAGATGCAGGAGTTGAGTGGAGTTGGAAACAATATGGTTGTCCTGTTTGGTCATGTGATAGATGTGCAGCAGAACAATTACTTTCCAGTATTTTCAGCTATCAACATAATATTGGGAAATTAGAGGCCACATGCCACGTACTGCTCATTTCCCTCCGAAACTCAACACTTGCAAGCCAGATATGAAAGAAAGAAAAAAATCATCAGTCACACCACCGGGACTCGAACCAGGGACCTTGCTATTCGCGAGCAATGCTCTAACCAACTGAGCTACAGTATGACTCTTATCCACAGTGATGGCAAATCTATCCTTCTTCGATCCATTCACATCTGGCTTGCATCATACAGGCAACTCACACCAATCAAGAGGGCCCTCGGCCATTCGCTTGATGGGGAGCGCATGAAACTATGCCCACTGCGAGCAAATACAAATTGCAATTTCAAATTTGGACTTCACGGAGAATTTTAAAGTATTGGGAAAAAAATTTAAAATTCTCCGTGAAGTCCAAATTTGAAATTGCAATTATCAACATAATAAATAAAATAAATGAAGGACCAAGGAGCTGTCGGTCAGTGTCGTGCAATGTTATCGCATGAGCTGATTGTCTAGTTACTGGTGGTGTTAGTGGACATGTTCTTTTCTATAATTTTATCCTTGGCTCTCCATCCGCGACCATTATATTATAATGTTGTTTTAGAGTATATTAGATACTAAATGTTGTTCTTGTGCGATGCCAACAGAGGGCTCAGTACCTTTTCACTTCACATATACATATAGCAATCAGCTGGTGCTACATGACCATAGCGCACTGAACTAACAAGTGTTTACTCATTGTCTCCTACGCCCTGCAGGCGACTGATCTGAGCTTTGTCGGCAAACTGAACCAACACTTTGGCAAGCTGGAGCACTACGTGGCGTCCAAGGACTCGCGAACACCTCACTTTGTTGTCAAGCACTACGCTGGAGAGGTAGGTGCCCAACGATGGCGCAGTCGTGTGTTGCGATGCGTCAGCACGGTGCATTGCGTGTGATCAGTGGGTGTTGTTCGGGCACTGTGGACTAACGTGTGAATTGAGTCTTCCTATTTGCCTGGGTCCGTCATAAGGAGCAAGAAGCCAGTGTGGTAACCAGAGCAACTTAGCTTGTTAATGCCGTCTCTTTATCCTTTAGATGTTAGCCATGGTTCCTGGCACATGAAGTGACCTGGTCTTCCTCAGTGCAAACATCAGTTGCTGGTTATAACTATGGACTAGACTGTAACTTATGACAATGTGTAGAAACTGATCCATTTCCGAATCTGATTTGTTGGTGTATCATTTCTCGAAGAGAAGGAATTGACGCCTCTTTGCTGCAACGTTTCAGTCCATTTCGTCAAATTTGGCCTCTTTCCTGTTCTTGCGCTTTCTTTAGGTGAAGTATGATGGTGATGGGTTTTTGGAGAAGAATCGCGACTCACTGCCCTCCGGTGCTGTGGAGCTGTTGCAGATCAGCAAGAATGACCTCATCCATGACATCTTCATGGGTATGTGGTGGAACGACGTGCAGTGATCTACTTAGGGATCACTTCTTGCACTGATACGGGTGTGTGTATGTGTGTGTGTGTTCGCACGCACCCGCGTGCGTGCGCGCGTGTGTGTGTATGTGTGCATGTGCTCGTATAATTATGTGCTCTTTCTTTTGTCAACTGTTGAAGTTGATGCATCCATAACAATTATCTATTGCTGAAATGTCTTCTCCATTTCTGGCTTAGATAAGTCTTGTCCAATGTTCTTCGATAGAGCTGGGATGTGTTCTGTTTTCTGTTTGTGCTCAGCAACACTGACACGAACTGGCACAATGGCGTTGAAGAGTCGTCGTGGCCGCAGTCGAAAGACAAGGGTAAGGCATATCAGTGTGGACTATTTCAATATGGTGATTTGCCCAAATTCTCCCCTGCAGCCTTGCAAGTTATAAGGGACTATACAAAATTTGCCTGACTGCACAAAGAAGTTTGCCCACAGTTTTCTTTTTTGATATAAAAAAAATGAAAACTATGGCAAACTTCCTTTTTCATCGGAGTCCAAACTTCCTTTGCCATAGTCATTTCTGACTGGATACAGATGCGGAAAGCGAGCTCTTGTTTCAATGAGCTCAGCATAGTAAGGGTAGTAACAATCTCCTCACCCATATTGTATTTGCCTTCCCAGCTGCCTTGTCCCCGCATC